CCACAGAGGTTTGTCCCTGGTCGACATAACAACTGCGTTTTGTTTTTCGACCTGCAGGTGTACAGCAGCATGGAGCATCTGTCCCAGCTGGAGCAGAAAAGCCACGGGGTGACTCTGAGGGAGCACAAAGTCCCCAGAGAGGAACGGATGGCCAAAAGAGAAAGTCTGGGAAGTGTGACCTTCAGAGAGAAAAGCTGGAGGACTGGATCTCCTGAGATGTGAGTGCTGCACTAAATAGAAACCAGGTGGAGTGGTTCATGTCCAAGGACTAGTGATGAAACGATGCGTCGAGAAAGGGTTAAAAATGACAAAAGATCAGTGAAAAAAAATGAATCGTTCAGTCAGACGTGAGGAGTCGCTGAGTTATCTCAAAAAGCCACCGGTCATACCATGACACTACACGCTCTACTACAGTAGGTGGCAGTCTACGTCCAAAAACCTTGGTTGCGAGCTGCTATTAAACCAAGAAAATAAATGTTTGAACTCATCGTCAACACGTTCTCCAGGTTTGAGTCTTGGTTTGTGTCTCCAGGAAGCGCCTGTCCTGCTCCGAGACCTCCTTCACCGAAAGCGACTACAGCCCACCCTCAGGGGCCCGCAGACGCTTCTCTGCCCTCATGGACAGCCATCGTCTGGCCTCCCCTCTGGAGGTCAACTCTGAGCTGCTCGTGTCCGGCCGGCAGCCTCCAGTCAAGGCGAGGGGCGCATCCCTTGAAGGAGCCATGGGTTCAGGGTCTTCTCAAGGTGATCTGAGGGCGTTCCTCAAAGACGGCAACGGCCCCGCAGCAGCAGCAGGTAAGAAAGGAGGGAACTGTGTTCCTGTTGATCACAGAGGGGGTAGTTATGAAGTCTGGGGTACGGGGTCTGGGGTACGAGGTCTGGGGTACGAGGCCTGGTGTACGGGGTCTGGGGTGCGAGGCCTGGGGTACGAGGTCTGGGGTACGAGGCCTGGGTTACGAGGTCTGGGGTGCGAGGCCTGGGGTACGAGGTCTGGGGTGCGAGGTCTGGTGTACGAGGTCTGAGGTACTGGGCCCAGTGGTCCCAGTGGAACTGAATGATATTTCTGTCTTCACTTCCTTGACTTCCTCAGGGGCTTCAACAGTTCTGGGCCTTCCAGAACCACAGGGACAACGTGGAACCACCACTGACCTGGTGCTGCGCAGGGTTCGTCATCACCAGCTCTCAGCTGAAGGAGACAAACAGAAATCTCGGCCAGGAACCAAAGTGATCAAATCAGCGTCCGCTACGGCGTTGTCCGTCATCATCCCCGCAGGTGAGGAACCACCAACGTGAACGTGCACGTGAACGTGAACGTGAACTCTCTGGTACTGTTTTAAAAACTCCCGGTCCACTCTCTGTCCTCAGTGGAACAACATGGCGCTTCGCCCCTGGCCAGCCCCATGTCTCCTCGTTCCCTCTCCTCCAACCCCTCCTCCCGTGACTCCTCCCCGAGCAGAGACTATTCTCCGATGGTCAACGTCTTACATTCTCCAATCACCATCCATCGCTCTGGGAAAAAGTACGGCTTCACGCTGCGAGCCATCAGAGTCTACATGGGAGACAGTGACGTGTACAGCGTTCATCACATGGTCTGGGTGAGAGACACAGAGAGAGAGACAGCGGACCTTGTTAACCACTTGGTTACTATTACTAACTAGTTACTAATTAAAGGAGAGGTTAGGGTTCAATCAGTGTCCTTTAATTACAGCTGGTGGAGGACGGGGGTCCGGCCCAGGAGTCCGGACTCCGGGCTGGTGACCTGATCACTCATGTTAATGGAGAGTCAGTCCACGGTCTGGTCCACACAGAGGTGGTGGAGCTCATCCTGAAGGTAAGACCGACGTCTCTCTGTCCACTGTCCTCTGTCCTCTGTCCTGATGACTGACTCGTGTCCATGTTCTTCTGCAGAGTGGAAATAAAGTGACCGTTACGACCACGCCTTTCGAGAACACCTCCATAAAAGTGGGTCCTGCCCGCAGGTCTAGCTACAAGTCCAAGATGGCTCGACGGAGCAAGAGGACAGGAGTCAAGGAGGGACAGGAGTATGTCCCTACATCCCATGACATTCATGACATTCCATGACATTCATGACATTCCATGACATTCCGTGACATTCCATGACATTCCATGACAGGCTGGCAGACGTTTTAGATCCTCGGTGTCGTTGTTTTTGTTTGTCTGTCAGGAAGAAGCGCAGCTCCCTCTTCAGGAAAATCACCAAACAGTCCAACCTCCTCCACACCAGCCGCAGTCTCTCCTCCCTCAACCGTTCTCTGTCGTCTGGAGACAGTCTCCCGGGCTCCCCGACCCACGGCCTCACCGCCCGCTCGCCCACCCAGAGTTACCGCTCTACCATTGACTCCCCGTACCTCGGTCAGTTTTTACAAAAGTCAAATCTGTGTTAAATCATCAGCGTCTGCTCAGCTCGAGCCGCACACGTGGTAACCGTCTGGAAACAGCGCCTCTGCTGGCAGGAAAAAGTTCTGATAGGAGAACCTCAGGGTTCAATACCTGGTCCTTGATTTGTCTGTATTTTCATGTTGGTAACAGAGTCACGTGGTCACATGGTCAGAGTGGGTGTGGCCCCGGTGTTTCACTCATCTTTTCTTCTGTCATCTTTTCAGGGACTTCCTCCCAGAGCAGCTCCCCCGCCTCCAGCACCCCCAACTCCCCAGCGACCACTCACCACATGAGGCCCAGCTCCCTGCACGGCCTGTCCCCTAAACTGCACCGTCAGTACCGATCGGCACGCTGCAAATCTGCCGGCAACATCCCCCTGTCTCCCCTGGCTCACACACCCTCCCCTACGACCTCCTCGCCCCCCCCCCTCACTGGTCACACAGTGGGGAGCTCCAACACCACACAGATCTTCCCCGCCAAGCTGCACTCCTCGCCTCCTGTAGCTCGCCCTCGTCCCAAGAGTGCAGAACCTCCCAGGTCCCCTTTACTTCAGCGGGTGCAGTCAGCTGAGAAGCTGGGAGCCCCCGTTCTGCCCTCCTCCTCTTCCTCCTCGTCCTCGCCCTCTCCTCTGACCGGTGGGGTGTCGTTACGTAAACATAGCCTGGAGGTGACGCACGGGGAGTACAGGAGGGAGTCTTTCCACTGTGAGCACAGCCTGCAGAGTCTGCTGGAGATAGAGGGGGAGAACGGACCTGCTCCCCCCTCTCCTTCATCCTCGTCCTCCCCTTCACCTCCCATGGGAGGAGAAATCGGAGGCCTGAAGTCCGTTCGGAGAATGGGGAGACAAGAGTCTCCGCTCAGCCGCGACACGTTGATCACGACAAAAGAAGAAGATTCTCAGACAACGACGACCACCGGGTCACAGACGGAGGGTCCGGCCACGAAGGCCCAGTCCAAGAGAGGTGTAACTGAAACAGGTCAAAGGTCGCCCAGTGCTGATGCTCTGAAGAGTAAAGTGTGTGGAACTGCAGGAGAGACCACGTCCAGTCCAGCACCTGTGCCCAGCTCTGAGGTCAAGGGTCAAAATGCCTCTGTAACCACTGGGGCAAAGGTCGCCCAACGTGACGCTGCCGAGAAACTTCTAACGTCAAAGGTCGTCCAACAACAGGAGAAAAAGCTGCAGGTCACGCGGGCGGGGGGCGCGGCCGCAGCTCCACCTCAGGAGAAGACGCCTGCAGGGACGGACAAGAAGGACCTGCAGAAATCCAGGCCTCCGGAGGCCACCCACCCTCCGAGGGCCACAGAAGGGGGAGAAAATGGAGGTGTCAGGAGCAGCGATAAAACACCTGAGGTGACCAAGGTCAAAGGTCACACTCCTCCAGCTCCACTGCAGGTTCAGACCACTGCAGCATCTCCGGCCTCAGGTGCTGCCAGGTCCAAGACTGACAGGGTTTTAGGTGGTCACCGTGGGACCAAGGAGGGGAGGGCACATTTGGAGACCCTGGAGGAGAATCCCATGTCCCCCTCCTCCACCGCAGCCCCCCCCTGCTCAAACAAATCTCGACCCATGTCCCCCGGGGACAAGGCCAGCTTTGTTACCCAGCTCACCAGTGTGGCCAAAACAGTTCTTGGGCCAATGAAAGGGGCGACACAAGAGGGCGCCAAAGTCAAAGACACGTCCAAGACAGGCGAGGAAAAACGTGGGAACGCAGCAGGAAAAGCTGAGGTGTCCTCCAGCACCGGACGGCGTGGAGCTCAGGCAGGAAGTTCTGCCGGCGCTGGGACGCTGGGGTCGGACAAAGGAACCAGTCGAAGTTCTAAACATCATTCATGATGACAAAAAAATAGAGGATCCCACAGAATGCCTTTTATGCAGCGTCTTCACTGACATATCAAAGACATAAAAACCTTGATGAGCAAAGAAAATATGTGCACGTGGTGTCGTCGCGCAGGCCTGTGCACGTGGTGTACGTCGATCTCACTGTGTCGTGTAAATAGTTCTGAAAAAGCAAATATCGTGATGCATGTCTAACTTTGTGTGGAAAGTAAAAGTGGATTCAAATGAAAAAAAAAGAAAGAAAGTCGACTGAATGGTAGTGAACACTGTGAACCTTTCAACCCAGCAGGAAACTGTTGATTAGAAACCGATGACCTTTGATTGACCTTTGATTCCCTGGTGTTCCGTTGGTTCTGTCTGTGCAGTGGTATCAGAGGAGTTTAAGGGAACCATGAGAAGACCTTGCACAGGGACACCAGGGTTTGACCAGTGTCTTCTGGTGTCCCCATTTCCAAAGTTTACATTAACAAGGACAGAAAACATGGGAGTGGGAGGGTGGAGAGGGGGGAGTCGATGATGGAGTACGCCAAGAACGCTCCTTTTGTTCCAAGTCTCCTTCAGTCGTGGTGAAATGTGCAACTATACTGTTATTGTGTATAAAGTGTGTGTGTGTGTGTGTGTGTGCAGACTTGAATCTGAATATGTGTGAACAACAACCATGGAGCTAGCTCTTGCTGTGTCCTTATGTGCAGCTGTGTGTGACGTCATCTTTCATTTAAAGCCGTTTTTTTACACTAAATATTTAATGATATGCAATCCATCCTGACCCTGACTCTGGTCCGTGGTCCGTGTTCTGATGTTTCTGTTGTTGTTGGTCAGAAAATCATTTGAAAAAGATTTGGGTCACCAAGCTCCCGGTGGCTGTGTTATGCTGCCACCCTGTGGTCACACAACGTAAAAGCCTGTGTGCTGATCTTTGCTTTCGTAGATTGATGACAAAGATTTATTTTATTTTAAATGAAACCAAATGTGACGTTATGTTAATATAAATAAATGTTAATTAATTCATCTTAGTTAATTCAGTGTCACTACACTTTAGTTAGTGGCATGTGATGTTTACTTTTCATACATATTTATTTTCCCAAATTTGTAGATCGTTTATTTATTCAAAAATGAATTGATTATGAAGTTGTTTTTTTAACATTCCAGTCACTAAAGTGTTTCTGTTTTAAACGGTTAAATGAATCTGCGGAGAAGACTGTTAAATTTGACCGACTGCCCCCTGGTGGTGTCCTGACTCTGTCTTGCTGTTGTCATGTCCATCGTTTGTCCAGTGTGAGACTTTTTTTTTTTTTTACAATAACTATCTCTGACTGTTGGTCTTTTCGTTGGGTAATGATTTTACGACACTGTTGTGACGAAAAAAAAACTGATGCAAAAACTGTCAACAGATAAAACAGAATAAAGTAGAACGGTTCTGGTCATGGTCTGTGGTCCTGCCTGTGTGATCCGGGGGTTTCTCAACCTTATAGTTCAAACCATACACAGTGACGTAAAGACAGAAGAGACTGACGTCACTGTTTTCCTACTGACGACCGGAACGTGTTTTAGGCTCGTTCACGTGACACTGTGCAAACTCAACAACGGCTGCACTTTTTTCTGCCCCGTGTTTTAATACCCGTTCAACAGCTGTAGGTTTTAGTCAGCAGGGGCAGGTTGTTAGGTGTTTTGCCCCAAGGGCAAACAGCCGGAGAAGAACTGTGTGGAGTTCTGTCTCCAGGAGACTGGACGGAAGTTAGTTGGACCGGAAACTGCAGCTGCTCAGTCGAAAAGGAAGACTTTTACATTTGAAGTGTTCGTTCATTTGTAAAATATATAGTAGACAGAGAAAAAGCTCTGATTGGTCAACTTGTTCCGGTCACAGCGCCAGGGTCACGTGATCGATGTAAACAGGAAGTGAAAGCAAATGAATCCCGTAGGTGAAACGGGGGCTGTTTGAAACGGACAGAAACAAAGACGTGTTTTCTGCAGTGACATTTCCTCAGTGACTCTGAGGAAAGAAGGAACCATGACGATTCCTGCGTGGAGGTAAAACACCGACAATGACGCGCAGTAAGACGGTGAAGTGAGTGTCTGCGGGCTGGACGTGACACGTTTACCTGTGGGTGAAACGAGATCGTGTTTAATGATAGAAAAAAAACGATGTCGTTGCAAAATTGTGTTGTTACGTTAATAATGATCAAATACGTCATAAATAACTATTAAAATAATGTATCTTTAACTTTGAACAATGATGTTGCTTTAAAGTCATCTGCTTAAGTACAGTCCCTGTTTATATGATTATATATGGTTTTATATGTCACACACTGTGATGGTAACTAACGTAATGTGAACATTGACAACAAACACCTTCCTGTTTTTTTTAATATTGTTTGTGCGGAGCTTTTATTCACTTGTTTAAAACTCAGTAAATGATCAGTGTTTTCTGTGAAGACGGTTGACATGAGGACCAGTGGACAATACTGGACACACCAACATCAGTCAAATTCCTGCAGTCACAGGGTGCAGTCATGTGCTTTAACTCTTGACTTACTGTCACAGTCAATTATTGACACAGTACGTCCTGAGTCCAGGGGCAGGACCGACGTGTCCTCACAGAAGACGGTCTGCAGTCAAGCTTGAACTGTTGTTTCCTGACGACGGTCTTTTTTCACTCTGCGTCTCTGTAGACGGCCGTGGAGATGAGGAAATCTCTCTCAGTCTGTGTCTGCTCCAGCCGTGGTCATGAATCCCAGAATGTCCTCGTCTCTCTGTGAAGGCCAGTCTTCTGGGGGGGGTCTGTCCGATGACTGGCTCTTCATCTCTCCTGACTCTGCAACACCTGAGTTTTCAGAAGTGAGCA